TCTCTGGTGAGGAACCTGTGCCCTCTCCCTGTTCTCTGTGGTTCCTGCTCCATGCCCACCTTGCCCTGCAGCTCAGCCTTGAGGAGGGGAGCCAGGGCAGGCTGGGGTGGGCGTGATGCTCCTCTGCATGATCTGCTGGTCCGTGTCCACCTTGTGGGCAATGGCTTCCTGTTCTAAACAGCAGAAACAACCTATAAACCACACCATATTGATCCTTTTGACCTGCATTCTAATGGAATTAATAACACTTTTAAAACTATGACATGAGAATTGCAGGGTGCAGCTCTGCATCTACAGCTGGGGATTTTYACCAGTGTGAGTGGAGTTTGTTCTTCTGCAGCACATTGTACTTTCAGCCCTTCATCTCTGAAACAGATTGGGGCTTTTAGGCACCAGATGGGTCGCCTGCTCATGGCACAAGAACCATGATCCCTTCACTGCCAAAGGCAATGAACTTGTARGGCAGTTCTTGTGTGGGACACCTGCAGCAGCAGGCCTGGCTCTTGTTATCCACATCTCACCCTCACAGGGTAATAGCTTTCCACAGCTCGCTCGTTGCTTGCACAGCTCTGTTCTGCCACAAACTGGATGTGGTTTTAAATTTAAAAGTGATGTTTTTCTTTCTTCTTCTCCTCCCATCAGATCATTTCCTTCCCCCTTCAACATTTTGTGTCAATGTATTGCACTGGTGTTACTTGATCTGATATACCAAGACTAGAAAGCAGAAGTAGTAAAAGTAGATGTTAATAAATGGACAGGATTAGATAAATTTTTTTAAGAACAGTCATCAGAAACTATGACAAGAAAAAAAACAAACTGTTTGGGGTCTGTGTATCATTGGAGTCCACCAATATATTGAAAATCTCTTTTAGCAGGACCTGAGGAATCCCAAAGCAGTGGGAGCAGCTACCACTCCTGGTGAGAGGACCCAGTCTGTGACAGAAAATGAGATCCAGTGATGAACACAATCTGTGGGAAAGTGTTGGAGAGGCTCCAGAGAAGTCCAGCACCCCTGGCTTCTGGAGGAAGGGGGGTAAGTATGCCAAGAAAAGGGGTCGTGTGCGCATAATAATCCTCTTGCACTTTCAGAAAGCCTTTGAGAAGCTTTTTGCAAAGCTTATTAAACTTTGTAAAGAAAGTAAGTAGCCACAAGATTGGATGAGAGGTTGGTTTTGGAGTTGAAAGCTGGTSTAAGAAGAGGAAGTGAGGGACAGGGCTTAGTGGTCACTCTCCAGGAAGGAGGAGATTTGTGCAGTCAGGGAATAATTCAGGTCAGAAGGGACCTCTGGAGGTCCTCAAACTCAGCCTCCTCTCCAAGCATGTCTAAAGGGCTAAGGTTGTGCAAGGACTTGTTCAGCGAAACCTTGGATATCTCCAAGGACAAGCCATTCTACAACTTAATACAAAGCCTTAAAATTTGCCTTGTTTTTTCTTGATGCCTCCACCTGGGACCTTTTCAAAGCAGTCCTGAGTGAAATCTGCTGGGTTAGAGGGACATCAGGCTCTGGCTGTAGGTGCCTGTGACTTCCCTGAAACAGACTTGATTACGCAGGGTGGGGTTGACCTTCATTATTTTTAAGGTTCTTTTCAAATTATTCTGTAATTTATGAGTGGAAACTAAAAAATATTGTTTCCAAGTTTGAGTAACACTACATGGTATTTCTGGCCATGGTTATGCTGAAAAATACTACTGAGCCTAAACACTGACCCTCCATTCATTCCCTGCTTTTCCACACACAGATGGCTTTTGTTGGTGGAGATGTGGCAGATGGCTACAACGACAGAAAACTTGCTTTTTGTTTGCTGGTGCTTTGTCCGAGTAGGGGCCTTGGCTGGCAGATCTTGAAGCAGCCGTGTCAGCTCTGGACGAGCACCAATAAAGCCAAGCCTGTCACAGGTTATTTTTTGCAGTATTAGGGTGAAACAGCTCTGCACATCCAAGTGTGTTACTGTCATTTGGAATTACCTTCTATCTTTGAAAAAAAAGCCTAATCTAAAGGAAATTTACCTCTCCTAAAACAACATTTTCTCTCGCACCTGAAGCTGATCACAGCAGCAGGAGCTCTGTCCAATGTGCAGACTCAGCTAATGAGCAGGTTTTGGCTTCAAATACATTAAATCTCCTCACTGTCCTGAAAATATAGGCTAGATAGTTCTGCATGGATCAGTGCAAGTAAGGCTTCAGCTTCCACAAGGGAAAAATCCTCCTTGACTTGCCTGCACTTATCTCCTTTACGCTGGCAGATATCATTCCCCTTTGTAATTAACGGCTGAGTATTTGTTTTCAGTGCTTTATCTGGGGTACTCAGCGGAAAGCTACAACGGAAATCGTTTGAAACAAAACTAAATAGTGTTCCAGAGCAAACTGCACGAGACCGAATATGCGATTGTTTCCTGGAGCCTGTCAAAGACTCCCTTTTCTGCAGTTTAGTCGTTATTTGTCCGCAACAATGGCAAATGCCTGCTGGCTGAAAGGCTTGCTGATCACAGGGCATTCAACTTCCCCATTGCCAAACAGAGAACAGTCAAGCAATCCTCTGTAATCCTCTCAGCTAAACAATCTTTTGGGGCTTTCCCTTACCCACGTAACTTGCAGAATGCATCTAGGGTAGGGGTGCCAAGAAACTTCCCTATTTGTGGTATTTATTATCCTGCCAAAGTGAACTCGTTTCCTTTCCGGTTTTGTTTGTTTGTTTATTTGAAACGTATTATACAATCCTGGAGCAATGCAAGCAAAAACGGGGTTATGGACTTACTTTGACAGAACAGAATGCATCGTCATCCAATTTTAATGCTTGCTTTTTAAATGTTCTGTTCAATCTTCTGACTGTTGGGAAACTGTGACAGAAGCAATTCAGTATATTTTAGTCTGTAAGCTTTAAGTGCTACTAAGCAGCTGGATGAATCTCACATCAACCACCAGAACTGATACTTTTGTCAGAACCAAGTGGTTTCCCAGGTGTTTGAAGGAAGGAGAGAGAAAAAAATGTTTYCTGTGACCGTCCATCTCCGTTGGTACCCCTGCCCTTGGCACTCCTAGGCAGGACTAGGGCTGCAGCAGTGAATAAGCTTTGTTAATTGGAGTTTGGGTTAATTGGGTCACTTCTCATTAGTACTGCCTAATTTCTCAGACCAGTTTTTCTTGATGTTGCAACTTGCTGTATTTGTGTGCACCTCAGCATGGGTATGTGCATTGTATTTATAATGTGCATGCATACATATATTTAAACATATGTATATCTGTGTATGCATATTTGTGTGTGTATATGTACATGCACATTTATTTATGTTTTTAGCTATACCAGGCTCATTAGTGATGTGAAGAGCTTTTCTCCCAAAGGTTTCATTTTCAMTGGGTAGATCGCTACAGGTGCAAATTTAAGGATTCCAAAGGATCTTCAGTGACCTTTAAAAAGTAAACAAATAGCCACGGTAGCAAAATTCTGTGTGGTCTGTTGACTGACAAAATTAACATCATACACCCAATGTTTGGACACTACTGAGGCTTTGGATGTGAATGGCAATACATCACAGTCGGAGGATCATCTGGGAAAAAAAAGCTGAGATTCCYTGTGATACTTCTTAAAACTTACCTAAGAAATAGGGATTCTAATTTTTTTTTTGCAGGAGGAAACAAAAACACAACCTCCCCTTGTCATTTGTCTTTTAGCTTTCTAGAGCAAAGTTAGATTGAAAAGCAGAAGATGGAATGGGACAAAACGAGTGAAAACAAACATGTTAGTAAGTTATCTGTTGTTTTGTTCTCTGGTTGGTTTTATTTTCTCAGTAGACCCTGCAGAATTTATAATATGAATAATTCATTACATTCATTAGCAGATATTAATAATTGCATTTATTTAAATGGTCTTGCTAGTCCGTACTATATTGATATAAAACCTTGGCAGTGACATCAAATGGCATCTCCTACATTTGCAAATAGTGGAATAGGATTTTTCTCAAAGTATGGATTGTTGCAAGCAAAGCTCTATTCATTATTCTGTTGATAATCGTATCAAGTCCTGTTTTGAATGAGTTSTTGCCCGTGGGATTAACAGCAGCATGTGTTCACATAACAGAATATTGTTCATCATCTAGTACGTCTAAAATATTTTACTCTGCTTTTTTAATTTTTTTTTTTTATTTTAGTGTATACAGTGGTGCCTGACAGCAAAAAAATTCTATTTTTAGAATGGATTTGGTATGTTTCCTGTGTAATCTGCTGTAGGTGACCCTGCACCGGCAGGAGGGTTGGACTAGATGCTATTCAGAGGTCCCTTGCAGCCCAAGCATTCCGTGATTCTGTGATTTGTGTTTAACATAATTAAAGATCATTTGGAAAATAGTGCTTTAAATATCACACGAACGCTAAAAAAAATCTACAGGGCATTTTAAGAAATTATCAGCCTAATATTAAGAAAACAGATGCTATTTAAATTTWAAAAAAAAAAAAAAMCCACAAAACAAAAACAAACCTAAAAAGGGTTTAAATGCATTAACAGAGGGGCTTCACACTCGTCTCTCCTTAGCCTGTGACAGTCCCAGGTCTCTCCCCTGGCGCAGACAGTGGCGGCACCGTGCCGTGGTGGGGGGTGTTGGTGCTGTTCCCGGGGGTAGCAGCAGCAGCCGTGCGGGTGGGACGCGGCTCCGCTGCAGCGCCTCTCCCTGCCCCGCTCACCTGARCGCACCTGCTCTCGGACGTCACCTCGCTCTGCCCATCGCTGCCCGCTGACGTCAGGATGCGATGGCCGTGACCGCACGGACACTGCCTGGCCTTCTCAGACCGCGGCGGAGCAGCGCGGCCACCAGAGCTTGGGCTGCGGCCACCAGAGC